GGAGAAGGAATTGTGAGACAAGCTCAAAGATATTCCCAGAAACTAGTCACTCAGAACTTCCTAATTCAGGGGGATGGCCTGAACTTCATGCTAATTGTGAAAATGGAGAGAGGTGTTGGCGAGTGGAGTGAATTGAATAGTTTGTGTTTGAGGAAAATCTCTTTGCATTGGGGAAACTAGATTGTAGGAGAACAAGATGCAACAGGGAAAACAACGGAGAAACTTGCAGTAGACAAAGAGAGAGGAGTGGGTCAGAGTGGTACTTTGCTTAGGATGTTAGCTAATAGGGCTGCTTTGGATGGATATAGAAAGTGAGGGAAAGACAGAAATTAAAGATGCTGCCAAACTTTCTATCCTGAGAAACTTGGGAGATGTAATTGCAATTTGCTTTTTTTCTTTTTTTAAAGATTTATGTATTTATTTATACAAGCCCTGGGTACAGTCAGAAGTGCGGGAGGGTGAGAGAATTCACCAGAGCCAGAGCAGAGAACAGAATAGGCAGAGTGACGAAATACACTGCTGAGGGGAGCAGCGGGCACAACAGGAGAGTTCTGTGGCGCCATGTGAGACCCTCGCTGGTGGCAAGGGATCAAACCAGCGCTGCAGAGGCTGTGGGCAGCTTCGCAACCTAGCACTCAACAGCTGCGCCACCAGGGGAGGCCCATGCTTTTTTTTTTTTTTTAAGTTTTATTTTTATTTGCTGAATTCAGAGAACAAAGAGTAGAGGTTTGGGTAGATGGAAGATTGGTGTAGTTGAAGAGGTTAGGTTCCATCTTCTTTTATAAGAAATCACACCACTCTATCTAACAAAGATTATTGATATAGAATGTTGTGGGGAAGCATCAAGGTGGAGGCCCTGTTGCAGGGGTGAAAGAGTTCACCAGAGACAGATGGGAAATACCAGGTGAATTTATTGAAATACACTGCTAAAAGAAGCAGAGGGCGAAACAGGAAGGGTGGACTGCTCAGAGTTTGGGTCCCAAGTCTCTACGCTTTAGAACCATTGACTGGTTAGGGTGACTAGTCTTGGGTGTGTCCTGACTGATGATCTGAATCAGCATAGAGGGTCATCAGTTCTGGGCCTCACCAGCTTAAGGTCCATGTTTCCATGGCAATTCCATCCACCCCCTTTATCATTCCAGCCTCCCAAACTTGCCTCTGGCCAAGGAGTGGTGGCTTGGTTTTCAAATTCTTAACCATACCTTGACAGGCCAGAGGTGCAGGGGTGAAAAATTTCACCAGAGGCAGACTGGAGAACAGAAAAGGCACATTTGTTCAAATACACTGCTAAGAGAAGCAGCTAGGGAGACAGGAAAGATCTGCAAGTGAAGAAAGATTTTGGGCTCCCTTTTATAACTGGTTTTGTCAGTTTTGCTTTGGGGAGTAAGTTTTGGGCTGGTTAGTAAAGGGGTGTCTGATCCTGGGGGGTTGATCTTTGACCCAGAATGTGTCCTGGCCTTGCCTCCACATTCCTGGTCAAAGGGATCCATCTTACGGATTGGGACCCAGAGCAGCCTTATCAATTCTCTCTGTGTTCAAGCCTCCCAAACGTTCCTGCTGGGCAAGGGGTGGGGCCATCAAACTCCATCTGGTCCTTCAAATGGAACCCACTATAAAGCCTCCACCATCCTTCTTCCAAGGTCCCTTAGACCATCGCCCTGAAGAAGAGCCCTGACTGTATCCCCACCTCGCCTGCCCGCATTCAGCAGGAAGTAGTCACTGATCAGATGGACATCCTTTGTCCCAAGGACAGTTAGGGGCTCCATCCATAGAGGGGGGAATGTGTCCTAGGGCAAGTTAGGGATAATTAGGCAGCCCCAAGGCAGTGCAGGGACTTCAGGAGAGTTCAGGAAGGCTCCAGAGATAAGGGCAACAAATTCCAAAGGGGACTAATCACACTCCCCAGGACTAGGGGCAACAGGATATTCCTGGACAAGGACAATAAAGAAAAAAAGATAAGGGCTGGGACGCAGACACTCAGTTCTGGGCAGAGACATTCAGGCAGTGAGTGAGACACCAAGGACTAACCAATCACAAAGAGCCAGGTGGAGCTTTAGAGTAATCAGAGAAAGCAGGTCTCTATTCCCTGAGGCCCGACTCCACTTGGGCTTCCTTGCCCCTCCCTGGCCTCGTTCCACTGGCCTGAGAGTCCCACTTTATTTCTGTTACTGTTCTCCTCAATAAACGTTTTCTTTCTCTAAGCAAATCTGCCTCTTCTCGCTTGCTTGCCTGAGCATCTGCGAAGTTCCTGCTGGAACTTGGGGGTCAAGTGGCTGGGACTCAGCGCTGCCCCTGCAGCCTGGGATCATTCCTGGCTTCTCCATTCTGGCTGGGAGACTAGGCCTGAAAACCTGCAATTCCAGTATCATTAAGGCCGTTAGAATTTATGGTGATGTGAGCTAACATTGAGAAGAACAGATTTTCTGGGGTCTCAGGCGTCCCCTTGAGCTTTAGTATTTTCTGCTTCACTTGTTAACTTTTTTAGATCACCCCAGCTCAGTGGAGTGGATGCTTCATTGAGTCCACAAGATTAATCTTTGTCCTTTTCTGTCCCCTCCTGGGAGGCGGGTATATGGCAAGTATTGGATCTCAGGAACAGTCAGCTGACCAACACGGTGGGAAAGAAACGAGTAAGTTCTCCTGTAAAAACAATAAATAGGGGGAAAAAGCGGCAGGTCCCCGTGAGAACCGAGACACAGAAGATAAACTGGGGGTGCTAAAAAATTGCCCGGAGAGGAAAGTTGCATATGAAAGAGGAGAAAAGAGAAAAGCAGCAGAACCCTGTGGCCCTGCCCCACCCACGAAGCTGGCCCAGAAAAGAGAAAAAAACAAGAGCAAACTAGAGATCCAGCAGGGTAGAGAACAGGCACCACGCCCTGCGGCAGGAAATGTGGGCAACCCTGAGCTAACGGCTGGGGGAATTGCAAACTGGGCGCCCCCGGAGCAAGGCCAGGACCCCGCGGAGAGACCCGCAAACAGCCAAGGGCAGCCGGGAGCGCGGGAAGCACCGGAGGGTGCGGCTGCCCAGGTCCCCGCCCGTGCCCTGGGGCTGTGGGGAGACGCGGAGCCGGCAATGGGGTGAGTCTCCCGAGTGGGATTCACCCCTGTGGGACCCAACTCCTGGTCAGGGCGCACAGCCCGTGCCTGCGGGGACAGACAGCAGCGCCCCCATCCCGGCTCAGGGATGGGACAGGCCCGGCCAGTCTGGTCCTGGCGGCGGGGTCGGTGCCAACCGCAGGTCTCGTCCAGACTCAGCAGGAGTGAGATGCCTGCACAGCTGTTAGGGCGGAGGGGTGGCAATTTAGGGAGCTTAAAGTAAGTGGAGCTTTATATATTTGTTCCCGTGGGGGCAACTTGCTCTCTCGATTCCCTTTTTGTTTTATAAGTTATGTTTTAAGGAGCCTGTTGGCTCTTTTAACTGTAGCTTGTCCTGCAGGGCTACAAGGGCCGCCAGGCACATGTTGAATATTTCACTCTAGCAGGAAGAGTTAAAGGCTTTGGACATGTAGGCAGGTCCATTATCAGCTTTTATTTGTGAAGGGATTCCCATCGCCACAATGGCAGATTAAAGGTGTTTTTTAAACATGTTTAACAGTTTACCCTGTTAGGGCCAAGGTTTGATAAAGCAGAATAGGTGTCTTTAGAGACATGAATGTAAGGTCTATTGCTGCACCTCCCCCTGCAGTGACCTTCAGGGCTAATGACTGTTGCCATGGTCCCTGAGGTCCGGTGTGGGCAAGGAACCATGCGCGCAGGGGGAGAACAGCAAAACTCCCTAAAACATAAATAAACTGGATGCCTGTTAAGACATAACGACCACTAAAAGCTGCCATAAAGCTTATCTTGCTTTCTCAAGTCCCATAAACTTTATTCTGCTACAACTGTCTTTCTAAATTCTTTCCTTTTTCTGGTCATTGATTGCTAATTAAAAAACATACGTAATTTAATAAACAGGCTAATCCAAATGAAACATTAATAATAGAATTGTTGGTTTAATAATCTTCTATTATGTGCTTGTCTTTAGTACCTATGATATTAACTGCATTATAAATTCACCCATGACAGTTAATTATGAGTAGAAACGAGTAAGTGATAGTGCAACTAAAATATACTTATAAGAATTAATAGCCTGTCTATTTAGGAATGTGAATAGGTCTAGATGTAGCTTCGGACATAGATCACTGCCCTGTCAATAATAAATCTATGAGCCATCTGGCTTAGTTCACTGATAAACAATCCTATACCTTTAGAAAAACATATATATACTGACCACTGACTCGAATAAAGCTGCACTCAGATTTACACTCTCCCTTGAAGTGTGTCTGTTTGCCATTTCTTTAGCCGAATCCCTGACCACCCTGCGCAGTCTCTCAACCCTGAGACGGCCTCATCGTTCACTGCTGTGCTGGTCCGCGGCAGTCTATTTGTCAGGTATCATTACCTTGGAGACCTGGGGCTTCTGTATTATTTCTACCTTTTGTAGGAGTGGCTAGAAGAGCCAATACACTTAGTTTGGAATTTGGTTACAATGTCTTGTCCTAATAGAGGAATAGGAAGGAAGACTAAAATTTATTGTGCTGTGTATTTTTATCAATATACCCAGATTGACCCAGTTTGTTTTTACAAGGAAAACACTTTCTAGGACAAAGACTTTAACATTTTAGAATATTTGGTATCAAGGAAGTTATCATAGGATTAACAACTTACAGATTTTTATAAAATAATTAATTACTCAGACTGCTAAGGATTTTTAAGAACAGAGCTATTTCTTTGACGAGGGTTCGCAATGCTGACATGAAAAGATTTTTTTCTCATGTAACCTGAGGGTTAAAAAGCACCAAGATTTTAGATTACATAAACAGCCCTTAATTTGTTATCAAAACCAGTGAGAGTGTTAGGGGGAAAGGATGTCCTGAGCTAATCCCATACAGGCTTTGTGGACTCCACCCCCACTCCAGACTAAAGCCATCAAGACATTGGGAAAGACAAATCCCATCACCACCAAAGGGAAGGTTGCTGGGGCCTGAGGGTGGAGTTAAGCAGCCAGGTTTGAGATAAAACCAGACATGTTGGTCTTGGGGGAGCTTTTTGGCTTCAGGGCTCTTGGCTTGCGGCCAGCTCTCATAGTACTATTGGGTTTCCAGGTTGGCGGATCAGGTAGGACACATTTAAGACTTTATTTCCCTATTTTCTCCCAGAGCTGTACATTTCCTCATTTCCCCTTCCCTTGTAAATAAACCTTTTATTAACCTTTCACGTGTGCCTGCAGTAGAGCATTGATAAGTCCTTTTAAGCGCGCGGGTGAGGACCCACAGTCAGGCACCCCGTTTTGTATCGGGGTTGCTCTACAACAGAATTGGTTACATTCCCTTGGTTGTCCTTATCTCTGAAGCCTCCCTAAATTCTTCAGAGGTCCCCTCCTGCACTGTCCCTAAAACTGCCTAATAACCCTAGCTTGCCCTGTCTCACTCTGAATAGGTTCTGCCATCCACCACATCAACACAAAACATAAAAGATCATATATATATATATATATATATAATACTTAGATCATTTTTCATTTTTGCACAATGTATGCATTTTCATTTTGGTTATATTCCCCATACAATTGCCCCCCCCTTATTTTGACTCTAGTCCTTCCTCTCCCTGCCTCTCTCCTCCCCCCCCCCAACTCCTGTAGTGTGTCTCTGGTTTATAGTTGCTTGTTGATTTTGATTTTTACTTTGTATTAATTAGTCTTTTTCCTGGTCCCTTATTTATGTTTTCTAAATTCCTGCTATGAGTGAGACCATCCGGTATTTTTCTTTTTCTTTCTGGCTTATTTCGCTGTATTATTCTTTGTTTTAAAGAAGGCACAGTTGCTGAACAAAAGTGTTCTTAGAATAGTCATTCACCTTAAACAGTCATTTTATTACTAGCAAAAAACTTATGTGACTGAAACTAACATATGTTTGCCATAGTGAAGGAATAACCAGGTTAGGGGAAAAAAAGGACAGGAAGTTACCTGGGGGAGGGAAGATGCCCTGACTCTTCCCCAGCCCCAAGCTCTCAATTAAGGGAGGAATTTTCCTAATCTAACAGAAGAGTTTTTCTACCTGTTACTCCTATACTTATCTCTCGTCAGCCTAGTTTCCTAGTTTCCGTATCTAATTTTAAGATCAAGGGAAAATTTATTTTTCTGTAAAATTGTTGATTGTTGTTTAAAAGAACTACACACATTTCATCAGGGGCAGGGCCAGGGTTGGTTATAGCTTTTGGTTCTCAGAATCGTTAATACAGTGACATATCAGTAGTTGTAACACTGACTATTTCCAAGTGCATTATTTGTGCTGCCATGGTTATCAACTCAATCAGTCACAAAATTGCTGTTGACTTATTCTGGAATGCATACTCTCAGGGCTACTCTACCAATTGTCACCTCCAGGGGAATCAGCCCTAAGCAAACAGGAAGAATTTAGCAGGAGCCAACTATGGTGCCTCCTGGCTTATGAGGAAATTTCTTATACTTGGAGCATGGCTTGCATCTGCCACCCAAATGCTATCTTTAACTTTATTTTTATTTTTTTAATTTTTTTTTTAATAGAGGCATGTTTTATTTGTTTGTTTTGTTTATACATGCACTGGGTACAGTCAGAAGCGCGGGAGGGTGAGAGAATTCACCAGAACCAGAGCTGGGAGCAGAGCAGGCAGAAGGACCAAAGGACACTGCTGAGGGGAGCAACGGGTGGCAGGAGAGGTCTGCAGGCCAAGTGGGACCCTCCTCTGGTGGCCAGGGAGCAGCCAGGGATTGAACCAGCGCCGCAGAGACCTTGAGCAGCTTTGCAACCCCCTATCTTTAACTTTAAAGTAAAAGAATTTCCTTCTCCATTTAGCCCTTGCCTCAAAAGGCCATATATCCATATTAAAGACTTGGCCAAGGGATATTTATAGCCTTTTGTTCCCAGAAGTTTTTTCACTTGTTAATGTAAGGCCGAATTTTGAATTACTGCCTTTTGGCAGAGAACTACTAATTTTATAAAAAATATTTGTATCACGCAGTGCCATTTGCCATCAAATTGGTTATTTAGTAATACAGTATTAGCAGTTTTACTTTTAAATGAGTATTTTAACAATGGTAGAAACTAGCCATAAACAAATGAGGAGAATCTAGCAGGAGTCAGCGAATGAGATTCCTGACTTTTCAGGAATCTGTCCCATGCCCGGACTCTTGTCAGACTGTTAGGGGGAAATGATGTCCTGAGCTAATCCCATACAGACTTTGTGGACCCCACCCCCACTCCAGACTAAAGCCATCAAGACATTGGGAAAGACAAATCCCGTCACCACCAAAGGGAGGGTGGCTGGGACCTGAGGGTGGAGTTGGGCAGCCAGGTTGGATATAAAAACCAAACACGTGGGCCTTGGGGGGCTTGCTATAGCTCGCCTCCTGGCTTCAGGGCTCCTGGCTGGAGGCCAGCTCTCAGAGCGCCATTTTGGGATTTCTGATCAGCGGATAGGGTAGGACTCATTTAAAACTTTGTCTCCCACTTTTCTCTCTAAGCTGTGCATTTCCTCATTTCCCCTTCCCTTGTAAATGAACCTTTTATTAACCTGTTTTGTATCGGGGTTGCTCTACAATAAGACAACATGAGTAGCATGGCTCCCGCAGAGGGGAGCAGTGGGCGCGACAGGAGAGGTCTGCTGCATCATGTGGGACCCTCAGCGGCCAGCCGGGATCAATCTGTTATAGGACAAGGAGAGGGGCAGCCCAAACCCCGCAAACCTGCCTATTCTAAATGGGTTCTGCCATCCGCCGCATCAACACAAAACATATGACACTTTAATGGGAAGGAACTTTAATAAAAACTAGGAAACAATACAGGTAAGGCAAAGAGTCTAGTTTCTAAATGAAGCACCCAAAGTTACCCATCCCCTCGTGGGTAAAACTCCATCCATATGGGGTCGGCCCAGAGCAAGGCCCCAAAGCCTGCCACAAGTCTAAAACATCTTCCAGTGGGGACCCACAGAAAAGGGTCACAAACAACCGGACAAGCCCGGAAGGAAAAGAGCAAAATCAACATCCAGATAAAAGCTGCCATTGTCACCTCCCCACGGGTCTCACCCACATCTGTGTCACCCAGTCCACGACCAAAAGACAAGCTCAGTTTCTTCACATGTCTCTAGGCTCCATGCGCCTCCTCCAGGTCTCCTGGCTCCATCCTGCTTCCTTCCTCAGTCTCTTCTGCAGCTTCTCCTCTTCCTGCTCAGCTCCACCCTCCCTTGGGTGGGGCAGGGAACCTCCCCCTTTCCTGGGGACCACCCTGTTGCAGAACCAGCGCTGCAGAGGCTGTGGACAGCCCCACAGCATGGCGCTCAACTGCCTGCGCCACTAGGGGAGGCCCAGGGCTGTAATTTTAAATTAATTCCAGAGTTGATAATTGTAATAGTCCCATAAGCCAAGTTTCTTTCTTAGGCAAGTACTAGACAGATTGATGAAAAACAAGAAACATCAGAGACTTAATCTCATATACATTTTCTAAATACCTGTGAGGAACTCAGTACTGCTAAGTAACTTGCCCTTTTTGGCTATAAGCTTCATCTTTAAATTTTGCTAGGACAAGGGGAAAGAAAGTCTCATATACATTTTCTAAATACCTGTGAGGAACTCAGTACTGCTAAGTAACTTGCCCTTTTCGGCTATAGGCGTCATCTTTAAATTTTGCTAGTACAAGGGGAAAGAAAGAAGTCACTTGGGGCTTTTCCTAGAAAAGCATTTTATCAAGAGAAGTTTAGGTATAATCATCAAAATGCAAACATCTTTTCTGATGTAGACTAAGTCAAATTACTCTTTTTTTCCTCAATACTGAGTCCTTCCTTTTTAAAATAAAGACAGTGAAATATAAAGTATTGATACCCAATATTATAACCATAAGGTATGCATGCTTCAAATTCAACCATTAAGTTTTTTTTTTTTTCAACTATAAGTCCAATTTAATGGTTAGCAAAAGTGAAGGGGAAAGGGTGAGGGCAAGTTGGATAAAAATGATCAGCTGTATGGTAAAGGATAAATTTAAGCTTTAGTGGTGAACTTATGTAGTATATACACATGTTCATTTGTAATGATGCATACCTGAAACTTACATAATGTTATAAAACAATGTTACTTAAATTAAAAAGTAGTCCCATGTGCATGAATACAGCCAGTCATACAAGAAGACAGCATAGGGCAAGGTGGCCCTACATGTAACTTGTTGAGTTTCATCATACATGTTACCTAAAAAGATTTCTAAAGACCCCAAGATTTTTTGGGAAAGAGCAAGCTCTCACTGATAAAGTCCTTACAGGGTAAACCTTCTTCTGAGTCCTTATAGAAGTCCCCCTTCACGAGGAAAACACACAGGCTAAGAGAAGTTTAAAAATTTGCCCAGGACACTGACATGGGTCTGAAACCACTTTTGAAGTTCCTACTCTATTGAGTGGAGTGTGATTTAATACAACTGCTTTGGAAAACCATATGGCCATTTCTACCAATATTGATCATTTGAATACCAGTGATTCTGCATTGGAACTCCTGAGTATGTAACCAGGAGGAATAAGGACATATGTTCACTGAAAGACACACCCTAGAATGTGAATAACAGCATGGGCATACTGGCTAAAAACTGGAAACTCCCCAACTGTCTATCAATAGCAGAATAGGTGAAGATGTTGTGGAACATTTGTACAGGGAGCCCTCTGTAGCAATACAAATGGAGGGCCCACACCTACACACAAGTGCATGGGGCAATCTCACAACCATGATGCCGAACCGAAGAACCAGACATACTATAGAATGCGGCAAATAATTCCTGCTACATAAAATTGAAATGGGCAAACAAATCTGTGCTGTTAGAAGTCAAAGTAGACATCACTCTTGAGGGTAGAGGAGTAACTGGTCCAAAGGGAAACCTTCTGGATGCTTCTGCCTGATAGTTGTGCGCATGCATTCACTTTGGAAATGTTTTGCATTTTATAACTTTTCCTTGAGCTGTGCATCACTGAGCTGTGCAGTGCTCTGTATGTTATTTATTTCAATAGAAATGTTTGTGGGGCTTTTGAATATTTTGACTATGAAGTCCCTACAACAAATTCAGAAGACAAAGAATGGTCCTCCAGGTTGCCCTAACCCCTGCCTAGACAGCATCAACCATTAAGTTTTGAACTAGTTTTTGATTACCAAAATTTTAGATCACCATCTCAAAATTTGGGGCTTTTTCTTAGAATTTATATAGGTGCCATTTATAATGAAACCATCAGCGGCATAAGACAGTGAGAGACACACTTTTTGATTCTCATTTTAAAACTTTGGCCATGTGTATTAGTTTTAAGTAGTAGTTATTTTTATTTTTTAAAAAAGATTTATTTATTTATGTATACAAGAACTGGGGTACAGGCCAGAAGTATGGCAGGTGAGAGGATTCACCAGAGACAGAGTGGGGAGCAGAACAAGAAGATCTACTGAAACAGAGGAGAGCAGCATGTAGGCAGGAGAGGTTGGCTGTACCCTGGCCAGCTGTGGATACAACTTGCACTGCAGAGGCTGGCAATAGTCCCGACAGCTGTCTTTAATCCTTGCACCACCAGGGAGGCCCAAGAAGTAGTTATTCTGTCTGTGAAAACACTGAGACATTTTTATTGATTAAATTTACAAGCTGTATTTACCAATTCCTTTAGATAAAACATATCTCAAATTTGTATTTTTAAGAGTGACTTGTTGGCTTTAACTTTTTTTTTAAAGATTTCTTTATTTATGCATACAAGAGCTGGGGTACAGACCAGAGATGCGGGGGGGGGGGGAGGTGAGAAGATTCACCAGAGACAGAGTGGGGAACAGAGCAGGCAGATCAACTGAAATACACTGCTGAGGGGAGCAGCGGGCGAGGTCTGCTGTGCCATGTGGGTTCCTCTCTGGCCGGCCGGGGATCAAACTCATGCTGCATTGGGTGCGGATTGCTTCATAGTGCGGTGCTTACCCCCTTGTGCCACCAGGGAGGCCCGACTTCAATTATTTTTGTGAACCATGAGGTGTACAGGAGAAGAGACAGATTAAGAGCTTATTTTGTAAATTGTTTGTTCCTGGACTCTCACTAGAAATTTAACTCAAGAGCTGAAGAAGGAAGGAAGCAGGATGGAGCCGGAAGGAGAACTTGAGCAGGCACATGGAGCCAAGAGACACATGAAGAAACTGCGCTTGCTTCTTGGTTGTGGACTGGACACAGATGTGGGTGAGACACCCGTGGGGAGGTGACAATGGCAGCTTTTATCTTGATTTTGATTTTGCTCTTTTCCTAGAAGACTTGTCTGGCTATTTCTGACCCTTTTCTGTGCGTCCCCACTAGAAGTAGCTTTAGACTTGTGGCAGGCTTTGGGGCCTTGCTCTGGGCCAATTCCATTTGGGTAGAGTTTTACCCAAGAGGGGATGGGTAACTTTGGATGCTTAATTTAGAAACTATATTCTTCGCCTTTCCTGTATTGTTTACTAATTGTATTAAAGTTCCTTCCCTTAAAATCTTACATGTTCTGTGTTGATGCGGCAGATGGCAGAACTTATCTAAAGCAGGCAGGTTTGCGGGCTCTGGGCTGCCCCTCTCCCTGCCTTATAACAATTGAAAGGGTTGGTACAGTAAAGAAAAGGAGAGCCAGGCTAAATTTCTCACAGGGTAATCTTTTATAGGACGGAGTCTGGCCTTGGTGGGAGGTGGAGTAAGGTTGCTTTACAAAGTTGTTCTCTCTTGCCGCTTGTTCTTTCATGGCTGCTTATCAGGCACAGTGCAAACCAGGTAGAGCCAACTCCCAGGATGCAGGTTGCCGGGATGCAGGTGGTCTCAGTTTCTAGTTCTTCCCTCTGCCTCATCGATGACCTTACATTCTGACCTTTTAGTTATAGGATAAAGGGTGAAGGATTCTTTCTGGCTACTTCCTGCTGATGTGGAGCAATGTGAGGAAGAGAGGTCAAAAAGCAAGGTCAATGGCCTGGCTCACTGGTGGGGAGGCTTGAGTAGGGGTGTAGTTGGTTGAAGGTGGTGCGAGTCATCTCTCGAATGCGGCTTGGATGAACTGGAGCATACAAAGGGCAAGGAGAAAAAATAACAAAATTAGAATTAGTGGTCCCACCAGGGAGAGTAACCATGCAGCCAGAGGGCTACTCAGCCAGGCAAAAGGGGAGATATGCCTGATGTTCAAGGTCTTTTGCCAATTGTGAGAGCTTTTTTGAGGAATAAGCAGGTACCCCCTTTTCTGGCTGTTAGGAGCTCCAGAGCCCTTCTGTTCTGATTAATGAGAAAAGGTCTGCCATACATTAGTTCAAACGGGCTCAGAAATAGAGGGCCGTGGTGGGGTGGTCCAGATGCGCATTAGGGCTAGTGGGAATAAATCAATCCAAGATTTGTGGAGTTCAGAAGAAAGTTTAGTTAGGTGTCTTTGATTAAACCGTTGACCCATTCTGCCTTACCAGAAGATTGAGGTCGGTAGGGAATGTGTAGTTTCCAAGTAAAGCTTAAGGAGGAGGAGACCTAGTGGGTTATCTTGGAGATAAAGGCAGGTCTGTTGTCCGACTGGATAGTGTTAGGGAGGCCAAAGTGTGGAATGATGTGGTTAATTAGGGCTTCAGCTACCACCTGTGCTGTTTCTTTAGTGGCGGGAAAGGCCTCCACCCACCCAGAGATGTGTCTACCATAGTAAGAAGGCATCTGATTTTCTTGTGATTTTCTTCATGTGGGTGAAGTCGACTTGCCAGTCTTGTCCTGGGAGATGTCCCCTCATTTGATGACCTACAAAGGAGGGAGGACGTATTCCCCCTAGCAAGTTTGACAGCGGGAGCAGGTCTCCCAGACAATCTTAGTGAAGGGTGAAAGAACAAAGTGAACCAGTGAGTGTGGCCCAATGTGCAGCGTCTTGTGTACCTTTTGGGTAATGTCAGAGGATTGCTGTTTGTGGAGAGCCAATTTATTGTTAAATGTAATCCAACCTTGTTGTCCTTCAGTGCCACCCTTGGAAAGAAGATTTGTCCATTCATTAGGCTTATAGAGGGGTGAGATAGAGCATAAAGAGAGAAACAGAACAGGTGCGACAGAAGGCTGTCCAGGGCTTGTCAAGGCCCTGGCCATTTCATTCACTTTGTTGTTTCCTCATGTCACCTCCAAAGAGTCTGATTGGTGTCCCTTGCAGTGAACTATGGCCACCTCGGCTGGTAGCTGGAGGGCCTGGAGCAGTTTGAAAATAAGTTTAGCGTTAATGATAGGAGATCCTTTGGTGGACAGAAAACCACGTTCCTGCCAGATTGCCGCATGGCTATGAGCTATTAGGAAAGCATATTTAGAGTCAGTGTGTATAGTGACCCTTTTTCCCTGTGAGAGAGTAAGTGCTTGGGTGAGAACTATAAGCTCAGCTTTTTGTGATGTGGTCCCTTCAGGGAGTGAGTTCGCCTCGAAGACCTGGTGTTCAGTCACCACTGCGTAGGCAGTCCTGTGCTTCCCTTGCAGATCTATACAGGAGCTGCGGTCTGCAAACAGGATGTTTTCTGCATGTAGAAGGGGAGTGTCAGTGAGACCCGGACAAGGTGACCGCAATTCCTCCAGAACCTCAGCACACGCGTGGGAAGACAGGGGAGAGTCAGGTTGTGGTAACAGAGTGGCTGGGTTTAAAATAGGAGATTGGGATAAAGTGACCAGAGGGTTTTTCGATAAAGAGGGTGTGAGAGTCTAACACACATGAGGGCGTTAGGAGAGAGAGCCTGGTGAGTAAGTAAGTCCTGGAGCTGATGTGGAGAACTGACATTTACGGGTTGACTCAGTGTGAGTTTCAGGGCCTGCCTGGCGAGGCGAGCAGCTGCTGCTAGTGCGTGCAGGCAGGGCTGCCATCCTCTTACCGTTGAATCCATTTGTTTGGAGAGATAAGCAACTGGTCGTTGGACTGGCCCGGTGGGTTGGACCAGAACACCTAGGGCAATACCCTGTCGTTCATCTGTGAATAACCGGAATGGCTTTTCAGGGTCTGGGAGAGCTAAGGCCGGAGCCTGGAGCAAGGCTGTCTGTAAAAGGAGGAAGGCCCTGTGCATCTCAGTTGGTGTCCGGAGGGGGCCCTGGGGGGTAGCCTTTGCAGCCTCATATAGTGGTTTGGTCAAGAAGGCGAAATTAGGAACCCAGTGATGGAAAAATCCCACCAAACCCAGAAAGGACAGAATTTGTTCAGCATTTTCAGGGACCAGGAGGGAGAGTATAGCCTCCTTGCGGTCAACAGTGAGTTGTTTGGCCTTAGGGAGGGACCCTAAGGCCAAGTAGGTAACAGTAGAGGCGGAGAGCTGTGCTTTTGAAGGTGAGACCCAGTATCCCTAAGTACTCAAGAAATTTAAGAGCTATGCAGTGTGAGTGATTGACAGTTCCAGTGAAGGGCTGCATAAAAGGAGGTCATCTACATACTGGAGGAGAGTGCCAGGACTGAGATCACAGACTGCTAGAGCCATGGCGAGGGCCTGTCCTGAGAGGTGAGGGCTGTCTCTAAACCCTTGAGGCAGGACTGTCCAGGTGAGTTGCTGAGGTGTGTTTGTGTCAGCGTCCTCCCACATAAAGGCAAAAAGATGATAACATTTTGGGTCAAGGGGAATAGTAAAGAAGGCATCCTTTAGGTCTAGGACTGAGAAATGAGTAGTCGAGGGAGGTATGTGTGAGAGAAGCGTATAAGGATTAGCAATAACAAGGTGTATGGGGTCCACCCCGTCACTGATAAGGCGCAGATCCTGGACTAGTCGGTATGAGCCGTCAGGCATTTTAACAGGTAGGATGGGAGTGTTGCAGGGTGAATTAGTAGGAACCCAAAGTCCTTTGTCCTGGAGTCATTGAATGATGGGTTTGAGACCTCACCGATGGGTTAGGGAGATAGGGAACTGAGGACGGGCTGGGAAAGAGGTGGGGTCTTTGAGAGAGATCAGCATTGGTTGGTGGTGAATAGCCACAACCGGGGTAGAGATTTCCCAGACCACAAGGTCGACAGTGGAAGGAGACAGCGGGTAGTCCTGAGGAGGATTAGATGTTTGGAGCAGTGGGAGGATGAGAGCAGCGCTAGGGTCTTGGAACCATGAAAGAGTAGCCCCTAGTTTGGTTAGGAGGTTGTGACCCAAGAGTGGTGTGGGGCAAGAAGTCATGACTAAGAAAGAGTGAAATAACGACTTGCTGTCTGTTTGACAAAGGATGGGTCCAGTAGCCCAAGGCTGAGAGGGTTGGCTGTCAACACCCATAACTGAGATTTGGGAAGGATAAGTCTGACCTGGGTAGGAGGGGAGGACAGAGAAGGTAGCCTCTGTGTCAACCAAAAAGGAAATGGACTTACCTGCTACTTTGACTGTTACCCTGGGCTCCCCGAAAGTTATCAGGGTCCATGAGTCCAGGCCTCTTCAGTCCTCAGCTGCCAAACCCAAGACCGCCGGTGGCAGGATCACAGGGGCCGGAAGGACTGGCCCACCACAGCCAGGCACAGAGGGACAGTCGCTTTTCCAGTGACCCTGGACACCGCAGATGGGGCACAGTCCTGGTGGAGGGTGTGATTTGGGGCAATGTTTGGACCAGTGGCCCTCCTGGCCACACTTGAAGCAGGGTCCCAGGGGCTCTTGATGGAGGCCCATTGTCATCCTCTGTCAGGCGGCAGTTGCTACGGTGGTTGGAGGAGCTGGGCATGACGGTCTCAAGGCAGCCACCAAGGCCTGAATTTGAAGCTCAGCCTTTTGGCAACTACGGGTCTCTCTATCTGTCCTGTCCTGTTACTCCCAGTTGTTAAAAACCTTAAAGGCCATGTTCAGCAGGTCTCGGATAGGGATCTGGGGGCCATCCTCAGCTTTTTTAAACTTTTTTCTGGTATCCGGGGCTGACTGGGATATGAAATGAGTAGCCAGGACTGTGGCACCTCCAGGTGAATCAGGATCTAACCTAGTGTTCCGCTGAAGGGCCTCAGTAAGGCGGCTAAGAAAGGCTGCTGGGTTTTCTGAGGTGGACGGGGTGATCTCCCTAAGCTTATCAAAATTTACCGCCTTGTGTGCCATGTCTTGGAGACCAGACAGGAGACAGGTAATAAAATGGTCTCGGTGAGCCCTGCCTTGGTGGCCGCGTCAGTGTCAGTCTGGTAGTCCCACCCCGGCTGTTGGAGGGGAACTGCTTCTGGGCTGGGGAGCATGGCTGCATCGATCAAGTGGACCTGATCTGCATGGTCTTGAGCAGACTGGTAAACACGTTCCTTTCCATGATAGGTCAGGTTGGAAGAGAGGATAACATGTACATCATGCCACGTCAGGTCATAGGCTTGGGTAAGATAACGAAACTCTTTGATGTAGCTAGTGGGGTCATTAGTGAAAGAGCCAAGATGCTTTTCGATTTGAGAGAGATCAGACAGAGAGGAAGGAACATAGACCCTAACTACTCCCTCAGTCCCTGCCATTTCCCTAAGGGGGCAAAGAAGAGAAGATCATGAGAGCAGGTGTGGCGACTAGGAGGAGGTGAAGGACGGGGGCTGGATTGGTTGGGGGCCATGGAGGGAGGGTGGGCTGAAGCAGGTTCCGGGTAAGGCAGGGGTCTCTGGGGAGCTGAGGGAGGTGAGGACAGAGAATCTAGAGGATCAGAAAATGCTGAAAGGGGGTCCGGAGAGGGCAGTTTTTATTTGTCCTGGATGGGGTTACGGGAGGGAGAAGAGTGGGAGGAGTCTCGGGCAAGGAGGACTTACAAAGTGTGGCAGCTTTTTAGGAGAGAGGGACGGCAGTGCAAGAAAAAGCAAGCCTGGACATAAGGGATCTCTGACCATTTTCCATTGTGGTGACAGAAGTTGTTAAGGTCTGTAAGGACCAAGAAATTGAAGGTGCCGTGTTCTGGCCAGTGAGAGCCATTCTCCAATGGGCACTGAGGCCGGGCAGTGTTGCAAGAGAAGACGAGACGCTGAGGTGCAGATCTGGCCTAAGCCCCAGCGGATCGAGGTTTGAGAGAAGGCATCCCAGAGGGGTGGCCGGTTCAGGCTTAGAATTTGCGGACCCCATGGCTAACCCAGCTCCTTTTCCCAACCAACAGGGGGCACAGTGTCAGGACTGCTGCACCTCCCCCTGCAGTGACCCTTAGGGCTAATGGCTGTCGCCAAGGTCCCTAGGTCCGGCTGGGCAAGGAACCAGCGTGCAGGGGGAGAACAGCAAAACTCCCTGAAGCAGGGGGAGAACAGCAAACCCCCCGAAGACATAGATAAGATGGAAGCCTGTTGAAAGATAACGGCCCCAAGAGCCACTACAGGAATGCTGACCGCAGGGAACCTTATCTCACCTTCTCAAGGCCCACAAACTTTATTCTAATACAACTGTCTCTCTAAAATCTTTTCTCTTTCTAAAATCTTTTCTCTTTCTCTGTCTAAAAAGGTCATTGGTTTGCTGATTAAAAAAGAACATATAAAATCTAATAACTAGGCTAATTCAAACGAAACGTTACTAAACTCTGTGTATTAATAGAACTGTTAGCTTAATAATTTCTCTGTTGTATGCTTAGCCTTGTTAGTATTAATCTTAATGATAAAAATATTACATTGTGAAAAGTAAAATTCACCCGTGCTAATTAATAGTAATTTAGTGGTAGTGAGTAGCTTAAACAAAAAGTAATCACATAAAATAAAAAGAAAAATTAATAGCCTAACTAGTTAGGAATGCGCCTGGGTCCAGATGTAAATCACTGCCCTGTCAATGATAAGCTAAACCTATAAGCAAGCTGATTTCTTCACTGATGTTCGCCATTCCTATGCTTTTAGAAAACATGTATATATACTGGTCACCAACTCAAAGAAAATTACACTCAGATTTACACTCTCTTGAAGTGTGTCTGTTTGTCATTTCTTTTGCTGAATCCCTGACCACCCTGCACGCTTCTCTCAACCCTGAGGCGGCCTCATCGTCTACTGCTGTGCTGGTCTGCGGCAAGGACGCAGCGTCCCACGAGCCTGACCTGGCCTACAGGGGGCACAGACCCAGGACTGCAGCGTCCAAGATTAGGTTCTGGCCAACAGCAGGGGGCAAACAAGTGAGGGGGATGTCTCCACCACTCTGTTGTTGCCTATAGGACAGGAGACAGACAGATGAGGGCGATGTCTCCACCGCTCACCTGTTGCCTTAAACCGGGCACCTAGTCTGGATGGGCGTCCCCAAATCCGGTCTAGGTGTAACAGGGGGTCAGCTGACGTGGGCCCACGGTTTCAAGACAGCTGACCAAACAAGGAGTTAGGGGAGGAGCCAGATAGCCAGAGGCGAGGGCCTCCTAGGAAGGAGAGTCAGATTGATGACTTACCCCAGGAATCAAGGCCGGTGGTGGATGTGAGGCATCTGCAATGGAGAAGAGAGGTCCCTGGGACAGGAAAGCTGCCTCAGCGCCAGGGGATGCAGCCATCCTGGGTTCAGCACCAAGATGAAAGGATTGGCGCGGTAAAGAAAAGGAAAACCAGGCTAAATTTCTCACAGGCAAAAAGTTTATTGCGCCCGGTGAAGTTCACTGACCCCCACAGAGGTCAGAGAAGTTGTGCCTCTCAGGGGATGAGGGTAATCTTTATTAGGAGGAGTCTGGCCTTGGTGGGAGGTGGAGTGAGGTTGCATTTCAAAGATGTTCTATCTTGCAGCTTGTTGTTCTTTCATGGCTGCTTATCAGGCACAGTGCAAACCCAGTAGAGCCAGCTCCCCGGATGTGGGTTGCCTGAATGCAGGTGGCCACAATTTCAAGTTCCTCCCTCCGCCTCATTGCTGCCCCGGCCTCATGCTTATAATATCACACACACCAGCCCACTTCATCCTAGGCAGACCCCTGTCCCACAGCCTCAGTCCTGCCTCCCCGGGCGTGGGGCCTGCTCACCTGGGTGGGGCTGAAGGCCCAGATCCCCCACCTCACCCTTGGCCTCTCTCCTGTCCCTGCTCCCCTGTGGTTGATTTTCCTGTGTCCTGTTCTCTGTGTCCATCATCTTTGTTTCCCCTTTGCCAATTAGTGTCCTTTGCCCACTAGAGGAGGGACGTGGACAGTAACCCCTGAGACCACGCACAGATGAAGTGAATGTCTGTGCCTCCAGCGCCTCCCTCAACTGGGCCTGACACAGACTCTGGGCTGGATTCCCCTGAGGACTTGGCAGGCCTTGCTCCAGGGTCTTCTGGCCTCCAGGCCTGAGTTGTCTCTTGAGGGTCCCAAGGTCTGTCCTTCTTCAGCCTCTTTCTGAAAGTCCCTGGGGCAGGTCATGGTGTGGGGCTGCTCATCCTCTGTAGGAGGAACTGGGTAGGACACCCAGCGTGCACATTTTATCTGTGAGTGCTCAGGGATTTTCTTGAATTTTTTTCATCATTTCCACCTTCCATTCTTTTAGACACTTGTATTTTTTTTTTAAAGATTTATTTATGTAAGTACAGGGGTATAGGCCAGAAGTGTGTGAGGGTAAGAAAATTCACCAGAGACAGAGCAGGGAGCAGAACAGACAGACAGACAGAAAACACTGCTGAGGGGAGCAGCGGGAGAGACAGAAGTCTGCCGTGCCATGTGGGTATCTCCCTGGCCGGCCAGGAATTGAACCTGGGCTGCAGAGACTGCAGAAAGATTCACAGCACTGCACTCAACCTGCCATGCCACCGGGGAGGCCCTAGACACCTGTATTATTAACTACTTGGAATCTCCTAGTCCATAGACTCACTTTCTTGTAGGTCTTCTCTTTGCTTGTCATTTCTTTTCCATTTACGTTATTTAGTGGAAGTGAGACTTTAATATTTCAGTTCATCTGCCTGAAGCCAGCTCCAGCAAACTGTCCTGTCAGGGTCCCTGCAGGAAAAGACAGCATCTCCACTTGAGGGGATGAGGGGGTGGGGGAGTGAGGAGACACACTTGATCAGGGTGCAGTGTCTCCTGCCTAGGGTCTCAGCAGTTCTTTATTTATACATCTCGAGCAAGCAAGCCTTGAGAGTACATAAGCAAGTGCTTTCAAGTAAAAAAAGGACTAACAACCCAGGCACTTTTTTTAAAACCGGCCATGCCGCGAGCCAGCCACAGCAGCCTGGGTGTCAGGGGTTCCTGAAGGATGGGGGAGCATTGGCGCAATTGTGGAATGATGGGGAGGGGGAGTGAGGAGACACAGACACTTGGTCAGGGTACAGACATCATCCTGCTGAGGGTCTCAGCAGCCCTTTATTTATACATTTCAAGCAAACTGTGAGAGTGCATAAGCATATGCATTAAGGCAGGAAGATAACAATCATTACATCATTCTCAAGAACAGCTAAGGGTCTATTTGCCCTCCTGCAGAGGTCATGACATTTATTATTCTTTATTTTATTTTTTTTTAAGATTTATTTATTTATTTATACAAGCACTGGGTACAGTCAGAAGCGCGGAAGGGTGAGAGGATTCACCAGAGCCAGAGCAGGGAACAGAACAGGCAGACTGACGAAATACACTGCTGAGGGGAGCAGGGACCCTCACTGGTGACCGGGGATTGAACCCGCGCTGCCCAGCTTCGCAGCCCAGCGCTCAACCACTGCGCCACCAGGGGAGGACCTATTGACTTATTCTTGAATGCATACTCTAACAGCTACCATACCAATTGTCACCTCCAGGGAAATCAGCCCTAAACAAACAGGAAGAATTTAGCAGGAGCTAGCTATGGCGCCTCCTGGCTTATTAGAAATTTTCTTATACTTGGAGCAGGGCTTGCATCTGCCACTCAGCTGCTATCTTTAACTCTAAAGTAAAAGAATTTCCTTCTCCATTTAGCCCTTGCCTCAAAAGACCACATATCCATATCAGAGACTTGGCCAAGGGATGTTTACAGCTTTTTGTTCCCAGAAGTTTTTTCACTTGTTAATGTAAGGCCAAATGTTGCCTTTTGGCAGATAATTACTAATTTTATAAAAAATGTAATATTTGTATCATGCAGTGCCATTTGCCATCAAATTGGTTATTTAGTATTGATCAAAAAGCATTTGCAGTTTTACTTTTAAATGCATATTTTAGCAATGGTAGAAACTAGCCATAAACAAATGAGGAGAAACTAGCAGGAGTCAGCTAATGAGATTCCTGACTTTTCAGGAATCTGCCCCATGCCCAGACCCTTGTCAGAAGACATGAGTAGCATGGCTCACAGCATGGCCAAACTGGCCTGGGGACCTTTGACCCCTTGCTGAGGTGATAATAGCCATTTCACTTAGTTCTAAATGTAAATACAATGACCATAAAAAATGTCCACTGACAATCATTTTATTTTCCACTGCCCAGTAATCATTCTGTTAATGCTAAAAAATAGCAAAACAACAAAAAACTTATATGACTAAAACCTAATTCCTTTGTAACTGCTAAATTACTAATTAATCAAAATTTATAAAATTCCTAAATCTTAAACATTAACAAACATAATTGTGGAACCAAGCTTAGCCGAGGTTTCACCATTTTGTATATCCTCCATCTTGATATGTTAGTCCTTGTACAGCCGCATTCCGGAGATAGTTTCAGCAGTCACAACCCTCACTCCACTTGATGAAAAAGTTAGTCCTTGTACAGCCGCATTCCGGAGATAGTTTCAGTAGTCACAACCCTCACTCCACTTGGTGATGAAAAAGCAGAACACCACAGCCGCCAATGAGGGCAGTCCTATCCATAAATGGGACAGCATCTCTAACAGTCCAATCAGTTTGAAACTGTAACTGCGCACACCAAAATGCCTTTGTAGTAGCCAATGAGTAATTGACAGCTTGTTTCAAAATTCGTGCCTGCTTGTGACCCTATTTAAGAGCCCTGCTTCCTCTGTTCTGGGCTCTCAATATCTGCTGCTGCATTGGTAGGTGCCATGAGCCCGGACTCGAGTCTGTAATAAACTCCCTATTGTGTTTGCATCGGCTGTCTTTGGATTCTTGGAGGCTATGCTCGCCGAGTCTGCTGATCTTGGGCACAACAATAATCACCTTATATATTGGTAATCAAGTCCAATTACTGCTAAAATCAAAAAAACTTCTTATTCCTATAACTAATCTATTCTAATTTAATAAAAGTAGTAAAAAAGTTAAAAAAAAAAAAAAGAATTCTGGTGCCACATAAGTTGCACTAACCCTTATCTAACCACAAGCTTCAAAAGGAAAAAAAAAAAGGGAAACTCCTTTTACTTTCTCAAGGCTATATTTTCACCTGTTACTTCCCTGATTATCTTGTCAACTAACTGCTGTTTCTAACTTTAACTGCTACCTCTAACTTCAAAACTCCTCTCCAGATGGTCTCTGTCTTTAAAGACCACAATTCTACATCAAAGACTTGGCTGGGAATGTTTACAGCCTTTAGTTCCCAAAAGATTTTAAGTGTGGCATATCACTTGTTACAATGAAACCAAATTCTGAATCACGGCCTTCAGGCAGAAGTTTATTAATGGTTTAAGAATGTACTGTTCCCATCACGCAGGCCATTGTTGCCCAATTAGTTATTTAGTAATTGGTCATACAGCATTTGCAGTTTTACTTCTAAAGGCATATTTCAACAATTGCCACATTCAGTAGAAGCCACCCATAAACAAATGAGAAGACTCTAGCAGGAGTCAGCTAAGGAGATTCCTGACTTCAGGAATTTGCCCCATGCCTGGACCTTTGTCAGAGGACATGAGTAGCATGGCCGGTGCCAGTTCATCTACTGATTTATTCATTTCTATGATCAAATCTCTAATTTTCAAGAACTCTTATTCTGAGCACATGAAATTTTATAAAATCTTTTCTTCTTTTTTTATTTTAGCACTAGAAAATAACCAAATTTACCTATATATGCATAAGGAATCTACATCTAAATGAGTGTCTGAAATCCCTGTAGGAAAGGAGGGTGTGTCTCCTGAGCTAAGGAGTGAGTAGGGCCTGGGACCTCCAGGAGAGAGAAGGGGATCCCATGGCAAGGACAGGGTGGCTCATATGATGAAGACCAGATGTTCTACGATTATGTTTGCCCTGACATATAGGTAGGTTTCTCAGATACAAAGTTCATTTCTAGTAATAACCCCAATTTGGGCTAAGACCACCAGTTTTCATACTAGGAAGTTATAAAGTAGTAAACGTTTCTTAAGATGAACCCCTGATAAAGCTCAGATGGAAATAATTCACATGCCAAAGTGGCCTGTCTTGGGGACAACTTTCTGAACATCTTGGGGAGGCCTGTCCTTCAGAGCATAATAAATGAGGGGAAGAGCAGGTGAGCATGAGGATGGGGCCAGGAAGGACCAGATTAGGCTACAGGCCTCCTCAATTTGGTTGAGTCCTGGGGCAGGTCATGGTGGGGTGGTGGGTGCTGAGGGAAGAGCAGACAGGCTGGTTCTATGGGGCCAGAAAATGTGTGTCAGGGGCAAAAGTGACAGATGTAGAAAGAGATAAATTCTGTTTTCCTTATGCTTAATTTGTTTTTAATATTTTTTTTTTACATCTGTTCATACTATTGATAATAGTGGTCCAACCTGTTAGCACTCCTGCTTCTCTGCTTTCACAATAAACATACTCCTTCCTCCCAGCACGGGGCTCAGGTGGGGTTTACACGTGTCTTTGTTACCTTTACTCAGTGTCCATCTCTCATGACAGAGCAAACTCCACGTGTCCTGGGTCCTCTCTCTGCTCCCCATTGTATCTGCAGGGGAGGCATCTTGGGGAGGCAGGAGCCAGGCAGGGAGAGGGATGCTGGGAAGTGATGAGGAGACAAAGGCAGAGAACACTTGGGAGATGCTCCCTGGTTTCCTGAGAAAAGCATTTCTCAAAGTGTGGTCTGTGGAGCCCTTGAAGTCACCCAGAACCTTTCATGGGATCCATGACATAAAACTTTTCAAAACATCACTTAGATGCCATTTGTCTTGTCACTCTTTTGGCATTTGCTGAGGTAAAATTTAGTAAGAGTGGAGCTTATAGTACCACTGCAGAAGTAGTAATTCTTCACCAGCACTTACCTGCAGAAACAAAAAATGAAAGCCAGTTTCACTTGAAAATGTACTGGAAAAAGTATTAAAAGTTATCTTCATTATTGCATCATCCTCAACTACACATTTTAAAATGTGTGGTGTGCTGGGCTGGAAGGACACACAGAACACTTGTGTGGCTTTCCCAAGCACTGTGTGCTGAGGAAAATATTTGTATGTGATGAATTAGACTTTTTATTTGTGAGCAATACCAATCTTACCTGAAGGGATGAATGACAAAAACTAAGGTGATATAAATTGGGTTGATTAGCAGACACTTTCCTCAAAATGAATGAACGTTTCTTGAAGAAAATCAACAACTGGCAAATGACAGTAATTTTGTGTGATAAAATATAAGCCCTCAGAGAAATCCAGAATTATGAAAAATTGAGTGCATCACTACTTGTCAATTTATAGTATGAATTTTTCTTTTGGAATTGGAATTAAAAAATAAAACATTTTTTGATAATTTGACTCTAGTGTAATCAGCACTAAAGATTTATGTAACTTAGTGAGACAATGTATCACCTTAAAAAAAGCCATAATTAGCACAAGTTTCAACCAATATGCCAGAGGCCTATGGAAATGTAAGAGAATGTAAGGAAATATTCCATGATATTATTTCAGGTTTCACTCTCAAAATAACCTTTGAGAAACTACCACCTGTACAGTTTTTATTTAGTATCAATATTCATAATTATCTGAAAATACTTCTATTTTCTTCATTCCTCCAGGCTGCTGCTTCTCCCAGCCCAAATCCACTCCTCCCTAAGGTGGGGAAGGAAATTTGGAGCCTTCCCTGTCTGTGGATGTCACACTGTCACAGCATCATGTCTCCCTCTCACAGGCTCTGTGGGGTGGTGCAGCCTTGATGACCCCACCTCACCCCATTCTCTCTCCCCATTTCCTGGGGGTGTCCAGGGAAGACAATCAGCATCATTGCTGCTCCAGTTACAAAGTCTCCAAGGACCCTCCTGGACTCTCTTCTCCCCAGACCCCTGGATGGGGTGTGATGCCCCTCACCCTCCTGCTGCTGCTCTGGGGGCCCCTGGCCTGATGGAGACCCGGAGGGTGAGTGCGTGTCCAGCTGGACACTGTTGCCCCAGGAGGGAGGAGCAAGGAGCCCCCTGCGGGTGCAGGACCCCAGGAAAGGCTCATCTCCCCAACATCTTGTACCCCTTCAGGCCCCTTGGGTTCTGGCCCCTTCTGTCCCTCCCGCCTCCCCTGAGTGCTCTGGCTCCCCTGAATCTGGGCCCTCCCCTGCCGCAGGTTCCCATTCCCTGAGGATTTTCCACACCGCGATGTCCCGGCCCGGCCTCGGGGAGCCCCCACTACATCGCCGTGGCTACGTGGACGACACGCAGTACGGGTGGTTCGACAGCGACTCTCCGGGCCAGAGTGCGGAGCCGCGGGCGCCCTGGGCGGGGCAGGTGGGGCAGGAGGACCTGGACGAGGAGACTCAGAGCCAAAGAGACAACACGCAGTGGTTCAAAGCGCTCCTCGAGGAATTGCGCGGCCGCTACAACCAGAGCGAGGACGGTGAGCTTCGCGGAGCGGGGCCAGGGTCAGGTCACCCCCCGTTCCTACCATAAGGCCGGGGTGTCCGGAGTCTCAGGGTCCACTGACCCCTCGAGGATGGTGGATGCCAGCCCCTCCACCAGGAAGGACTCTCCTGCCTGCCCTTTCATTTTCAGTTTAGGTTTATTCAGGGTGAAAAGACGGGGTGATCTCGGGGTGACCTCGGGCTGACCACGGGGTGGTTTCAGGGTCTCACACCCTCCAGAGGATGTTTGGCTGTGAAGTGGGGCCAGACCTGAGTCTCCTCGGCGGTATGACCAGTTCGCCTACGACGGCGAGGATTCATCTCCCTGAGCAAGGACCTGCGCTCCTGCCCCCGGGACTCGGGGGCTCAGATCACCCAGCGCAGTGGGAGGCGGCGGGGAGGGCCGAGCGCGTCAGGCACAGTGTGCAGAGCAGGTGCTTCCCGCGGCTCCGCAGACTCCTGGAGACGGGGAAGGAGGTGCTGCAGCGCGCAGGTAAGAGGGGCCACGAGGCCTCGGACCTCCCCTCTCCTGGCGCCCCACAGGGAAATGGAATCATGGGCAGAACAGCACCTGCTTTCTGGGCAGAGAGGGAGAGTCCCCTG